GTGTGTGTGTGAGTGTGTGTGTGAGAGAGTGTGGGTGAGAGAGAGAGAAAGAGAGAGAGAGTGTGTGTGTGAGTGTGAGTGTGTGCGTGCATGTATGTGCGTGTGTGTATGTGAGTGATTGTGTGTGTGTGTATGTGTGTGTGTGTGTATGTGTGTGAGAGCGTGTGTGTGCTCACGAGTGAGCATAATATGTATGTGTGGGACACACACACACATACACACATACACACACACATACACACATACACACATACAAACACACACATACACACTTACACACATACACACACATACACACACACACATACACACACATACACACTTACATACATACACACACATACACACACACACATACACACACACACACACACAGTGAGTGATCAGCGCCAAGGTCAAGGATACAGTTCCCAAAGAGCACGAGCACAATGAAGTAGGAAGAGGCCAGCATGCCACTCTTCTCAATCCCTCCGTGTGCCCGGATCCCGTCGTACATCACCTCGTTCCAATCCTCGCCCGTCAAGATCTGCACACACATACAAGCAGTCCAGAAATAATAATAAATAGATAATAAATTAATAAATAAATTTAAAAAATCAATAGATAACTAGTAAGTACATATAAATAGACAATAAAATAAATAATTAAAACTAATAATTCAAAAAATAAATAATACAGAATTTTAAAAATTAACGAATATAATTATGTTGCATAATGAATAATTATTGATCACTAAATGGTGTATAATCAAGAAATCAAGAATTGAAAAAACAAAATCATGTACAGTTTAATTATCACACTATGAACCGTCCTTTGTCGTGTATCAGAGAGGCGCTTTGCCGTCAAATGCAGGAGACCCCAGTTCGATTCTCTGTCAGTTTACTGGGATGATGTTGTATCCCTCTCAGCCAGGGTTGGCCCTGACAGGCAGGGGGGGGGGGGGCGTTTCTTAATTGACCCAAAACTGAGTTGTTGATGGGAGCGAGAAAAAAACCGCGCCTTCATTAATTAAACAAAATATCTTGTTGAAATTACAAGAAGTAAAAGCGGATTCGTCTGGAGTAAAAAAGACAGGAAAGTTGAGCAGTGGACAAAGACTGACCTGGAACACCGTGAGTAGGGCGATGGGGAATGTGTCAAAGTGAGCAGACGGTCGACCGTCCTCGAAGTTCATCCTGGGGACCAAGCAGAAGAATTGTATACATGACTGAACATAATATGTACAAACAAATACATACACACATATATACAAACACACACACACACACACACACACACACACACACACACACACACACACACA